CTTGAATGTTGTGTATCCGACCTCATCTGACTATTCATTCTTCTAGTAGAACGCTGTTGTTCAATTGCTAGAGTGAGACTTATAACCGTTGTGTAACGAATTCGATCCGATCCGATCGATCGACCGGATCGCTCATCTACTTTGCAGACTTGATAAATGAGTACCACTGTATGCAACGGAAATTGGAGACTACACGCTACGGTTCTCAGATGGTTGCTATAGATTCTGCCATTAATAAAATAGGGTTCTATTTGCTGATTGCATGGAATCAAAGGTCAGTGTCCTACCATTAACGTCGATCTTTTTCCATTTAGCTCAGAAATCATATTCTTCCATTCGTAAATATGATGGCTTGATTAGATCATCATAATATGGCTTTTTCAGCGATTAATAGAAAACCAGTTTTAAGTCCTTGCACCCGATGTTGCAGACGAACGTTTCTTCTAAATGAATTTGCTGATTACACACATTGTGGCTGCTGATTACACACATTACAGCATAAACCTTAAACTAAAATGCTGAATCGATCGATCGCCTGAACTTCGTTACATACATCGTATTCGTGACTAGTAGCAATATTGGAGCGAAATTGCGTTGAGCACTGAGTTATATTTGCTACATTTGCTTGTGCAAATGAGTAAAGAGGACCTACATAGCTTTGGTGCATGTCTTTGCATTGCTTATCATCGTCCCCTGCTATTGTTTATCCATATATTCTAACCTAATCTGTTATTTTACTTAACTAACTGCGTCGATACTGCTGATGAAGTCACGTGAATTCTGGTTCTTTTTTACCACAACTCTTTCGTCGAAGTTGAACCATTACCAAAATTTTATATTCATGGCTGTCTTCTGTGTTACAGCTGGCCAGTGGTGAGAATATAATTTGAAGAAATGATGAGGCACTCTGAATAACTTCAAAGTCATTAGAAATATACTATGTACTCTCATGGGCTGAAAATAATTCGTAATTCAGTCCCTCCAGTACGTGATAACTACAGCATGAAGGCTTTTCCAGGATTTTGTCAAAATGTGTCTTTCGGGAATTTACTGAGTATGCCTCAGCTTCAGCTTATCCTTCATCGATCTGGAGATCTTTCTACTGGCCTGCTTTGTGTATCAGGATTGTAAATAACGGTAATATCTGTTCTGTCAGACGGTGGCTGTTTCTTTGCAGTGTGCTCTGACCATTGCCATTTTAACTTCTCTGTTTGGGAAATGACTTTTCACGTTCCTGTTTGTACTCTACCCACTCATTCGTTTATTTTTCTTATTGTCAACAAGTTTTCGTGCTTAATGCTGCGATGCGTACCTTACACCTTATGAATGGCTTTCGGGCTTGCGCGGTTAACTTTGTCCTCTGATCCGGTGTAGTGAGTTTCATTAGTCCTACACTGCGACTGTACGTCGTTGAAGTAAACGCACGGTATGGTTTAAAGTTCCTCATTGTAGAAGTGCCGGTGTTCTTTCACTTTCATGATTGGGTCATTTTGGCTCTCTTCTTTTCATGAAGTTCATGGCACGGCGCCGATCTCTGTTTCCCTGGTATCAGCTAGGAGTATCTTACTTTGGTGATGTAGCAAGAACTGCGTGTAGTCTGCTGTTTCCTTCCCACTCACTGATGCTCAATGAGGAAGAAGGACGAGTATCTCGTAAGCGTACGATATATGTACCCGTGGCCAGACTTTTTGGCGTGCTGCTCAGCTTGAATGGCCCTCTAGGCAACCTCGAGCGAACAGACGGCGCAGTGCGCCCTGAATTCTAACCTCACAGGAGTTGTACGTTGTTCCACATGCATCTGTCATTTTTTGAGTTCGATAATCGCAACTTTTTCGAAATCTTTTCTTTTACATGTTGGTCGCAGCTGATTTCATCTGTCCAAGAGTCTCTAATCGCGATGAAAATGAGGGTTTAGATTTTTTTATGGTTCGCATTTCTGAGTCATACTGTATGACAAAGCTACAGTTTCAGACTAATCTATCTTGATTCTGCCTTTATATCTCTTACCTTCCAGATCTTGGGAACCTGTCCCAATATTGCAGGGCCTAGTTTTATGGTTCTTCGATATCTCTGACTCATTTTCCCTATAACTTATAGCAAAAATATTTTTGCTCTATTTATTCTTCTTTCCAATGTAGTATTAAGCACATACTTTCCATGAGATGATAACTTGCTCAGTAGTGAGAGGAACTGCAGGAGCTGTGAGTGAGAAATGAAGTGTGTGTATGTGTGTGTGTGTGAGAGAGAGAGAACCGAAGAAGCAGTTGTGTTCTAGCTTACGTAGGAAATATCTTTGATTGCTTCACAGATCCGCACCCGG